CATTCTGTTTTTTTAAAATGAAAATTTTATTGAGATAATTTTAGATTTACATGCAATTATAATCAACAATACAGAAAGAACTCTTCTATACTTTCGTATTTATTCTAATGGTAACATTTTGCAAAACCCTAGTATCATGTCACAAGAATATTGATATTGATGGAATCTACCACTTTCATATTTTCTTGTTCTCCTTTGTAAGGGTGTGTAGATATGTGAGCATATTAAGTTCTATAGAATTTGGTTACTTATGTAAGTTTGTGTGTCTACCGTTACAGTCAAGATAGCAAATAGTAACAACATCATAAGATCCCACCTGTTGTCCTTTTATAGCCATGCCCACTGCCTTTGGGAAAAACATCTGTCCCATACTTAATCCCTGAAAGCCATTAATTTCTAAATATCCATTTCTAAAATTTCACATTTCAAAAATGTTTTAAATGGAATCATATAGTACATAAACTTTGAGTTTGGAATTGGCTTTTTTCACTCAGCCTAATTCCCTGGGGGTTCATCCAAGCTGTTGTATACATTAAATTTGTCTGTTTATTGTTGAGTAGTACCCCATGGCATGTGTGTCACAGTTTGTTTAACCAATTACCTATTGAAAGACATCTGAGCTGATTGCAGTTTTTGCTATTACAACAAGTAAAGATGCTGTGAACAATTGCGTACATGATTTTGCGTCAACCTAAGTTTTCATTCCTCTGGGATAAATGCCCAAGAGTACAATTGCTGGGCCATGTGGTAATTGTTGGTATAATTTGGTAAGAAAATGCCAAACTGTTTTCCAGAGTGGCTGTACCATTTTACATTCCCACCAGCAATGAATGAGTGATAAGTTTCCCCACATCCTCATCATATATGTATTCGTCATATTGGACAGATGGACTGTGATATCTCATTGTGGTTTTAATCTGAATTTCCCTGATGGGTAATGATGTTCAACATCTTTTCTTGTTTTTATTTGCCTGCCACACTGTTTTAAATTTCCTCAATCACTGTTATGTACTTATATTTTGTATCAAAAATTATAACTTTGATCAGATTATCCTGATCAAGAAAGTTAATAAATGCTTATTGATGTGGGAAACAGATCCCAAATTCTCTCTGGCTTTCAAAAGCCCTTATAATGTGGCTCTAACAAAATCTATTCACCTCAATAAATAACTGTTTAAATATGTAGCTAAAATCTAGAGAATATCTATGTAATATGAGTTTGCAGCAAAATGAGTGTGAGAAGCAAAGTGAGGGAAAACAACATGATTTCTCAACATACGATACCTTAAAATTTCCAGAGATGTTACANTAATGAGTTATATAGGTGGTTAGTCTAGATACTTTTGTTAGCAGTTCATATAAGAACCATTCCTCTTTGTTTCAGTTTCCAAAACTATCTTTCTAGTTATTCTTTTTTCGCTATTTCGTCTCTATCCACTACTCACCCAGCCTTAACACAAATAATAAAACTAAAAATATGCAAAGTTTTTTTTAAATGAAAAAAAATAGAAAAATTTTTAAATGGAAAAAAAGTTTTGCTTATTTTCATTTTCTTCTTCAATACTCTGTTTATACTTAGCAAATTGAAATTAAAATTCTCCAGTGAAACACTCATTCCTTCTCCCAAGCCCTAAATATAATTAGATATAAAATTCACTAGATATGAGTATGTATATAGCACTCCTAGATGTGTAGGTGCTTTTTTTTCTGAAACATTATATTTGTACGAATAGCAAATTTATGAGTTTTTGGTTTGTTTTTTGATCTGTGATGCTAAGCTTTGCCATCATGAGTAATTCATACGTTGCCTTTTTTTTTATTGTATGTACATGTGTAATCTAAGGACCAAGAGACCAGCTATACAATTATCAAATCGAAAGAGACAACTATAACAGCAGAGGGCTTGAAACCAGCTTCAGTGTATGTCTTCCAAATTCGAGCACGCACCGCAGCAGGCTATGGCGTCTTCAGTCGAAGATTTGAGTTTGAAACCATCCCAGTGTGTAAGTCATTTTAATTACTGTCAACTCATGTCTCTGTAATAGTTACCAGGAAGGAGTCAGTGGATCAATACTCTCCCTGGGCATTCTGTCAGTCTCCCGCTCCTCTCCCTTCCAGGCATGACCCTTTCAGGTAGGAAGCCTCGGTCATGCTATTATGGAAGGTTAGCGGGTTAACACATCGGGCCCTGCTCCTCACATTAAGTCTACTGGGAGACGAAACATCAGGAGATCCATAAGAAATGGTCAAACGTTGCTTTTAAAGACTTTCTTTCTCTGCTGCCATACTTTATTGAATTATTGCCATTTACTTTTTACTTGTTTTATTGAACAATGCTTACCAGACTTAGTCTTTTTCTATGAAAATTCCCCAGGGAGCTTTCATTAGCATTCAGTTTGGCAAGAAAAGGGTGCTCTCAGGAAACAATCTGATTGTTTTTAAAAATCATAATCTCTGGCATCATCTCTGAGTGGAGGGTCTGGAAATATTTCTGGAAAGCCTTTCATGTACCTTTTTTTTTTAATTTCATAAAATATCATAAAACATTTTTCTCTTTCATGTCAGAATAAAATATTTAGGTTACTTACTTGTCCTAAAGCACACGTTAAAAGCAGGATTAGAAGAAGATAATAACTTGCCTTGTTTATGTGTACGTATATTTCTACATACTTTTTAAAGCTAGGTTATGTAAGAATTAATGATTTGAAAATAAAGTTAAGTGCATATTTCCTCCCATTGAAAACCAACAAAATGAGAGCTTAGTTATCAGATTTTCTTTGTAGTGATTAGAAGCTATTAAATGAAAATTTCCATAAATCTTAATACAGCTTTTTAGAAAAAATAAAGATAT